GATGTCATGAGGAAATGGCCACCCCATGCCGGCATGTCATGAGGGAGTTGACACATGCCGGAATGCCACGAGGAAGTTGCCACTCCATGCCAGCATGCCATGAGGGAGTTGACACATGCCGGAATGCCACGGGGAAGTTGCCACTCTATGCAGGCATGCCATGAGGGAGTTGACACATGCCGGAATGCCACGAGGAAGTTGCCACCCCATGCCAGCATGCCATGAGGGAGTTGACACATGCCGGAATGCCACGGGGAAGTTGCCACCCCATGCCGGCATGCCATGAGGGAGTTGACACATGCCGGAATGCCACGAGGAAGTTGCCACTCCATGCCAGCATGCCATGAGGGAGTTGTCACATGCGGGAATTCCACGAGGAAGTTGCCACCCCATGCCAGCATGCCATGAGGGAGTTGTCACATGCCGGAATGCCACGAGGAAGTTGCCACTCCATGCCAGCATGCCATGAGGGAGTTGTCACATGCCGTAATGCCACGAGGAGGTTCTTACATACTGAAACTCATGTTTTATACGTTATGCGCTTTCGCGCTTCTTGCTCATTCTTGCGTTTCCCTGCGAATTATGCGCTTTAGGTGTTTTGTTCGGCCGAATGTCTGATTCTAGTAGCTCGCAGAGCTAATTGTGACAGGCTTCACGGGCAACATTCATCAACAGCGGTGCTCATGATTACCTTATCATGTCGGGCTTATCTAGAGGTGTTCCCACGAGACCGGCGACGCCAGCTGACTGGGAGCCAGGCCAGCTGGCGATGCTGCCGGCCGACACGCTGGCCTCGACCGGCGGCCTGGCGAGGAAGTCAATCGCAGGGGCGCCACCTCTCACGGGCAGCACACAGTCTGCAGCGAAGGCACAGGTTCAGTTATCGATGTACGTGACGTTACAAAGCGCTCCCTTGGCTCGCTGAAACGCACAATAAACAGTCGCTGAGACTTATATTGTATTTTGCACATAATATCTGTACTCTGTATTTTGTCAAGGTGGTTTTGTGTGCAAACGCAAACAACCGCAAATTTGACCATTAGGCAAGTAGTTACGGCTGCCCCAGATCCAGCACTATCCAATAGCAAAGCATACGACATGTGTTGTCGGTTTTCCCGAGGCATGAAACCCCCTTTAAATTAGATCGGCCTTGTAGTCTGTGATAGCAAGCACGATTCGCAAATGCGCATGGGCCGCCTGCAATACCCGTACGCGCATGTGATGCACAATACTTGGCGACGGGTTATGCGCCCTGGTCACCCGGTTTACAGCCGATCATTACAGCTAAAGTGACGTTGTCCTACTATTTGTGGGTACCGTTCCATGCTGGCGCGAGATCGCTGGTGTGACTGTGGTGAACACGAAGTGAGCTGGAGGCAGGGGTGGAGAAATCGACTGAGGCCACAAGTCCGGACGACTGAGGTCACCGGACCGGGCGACCGAGTCCACCGGACGGAGCGACTGAGGCCACTGGACCGAGCAACTGAGGCCACTGGACCGAGCGACTGAGGCCACTGGACCGAGCGACTGAGGCCACTGGACCGAGCAACTGAGGCCACTGGACCGAGCAACTGAGGGCACTGGACCGGGCGACTGAGGCCACTGGACCGGGCGACTGAAGCCGCCGGACCGGGCCACTGAGACCAGTGAATCGGGCGACTGAGGTTACTGGGCCGGGCCGCAGTCTCGGAACGGAGACGCGGAGTCGCGGAGTGCGACCAGACGCGGTATTATCAAGCTCGAACCAGACGCGGTATTATCAATCTTACGGTACTCGTGTTGTTGTTAATTAGGGTCTCAGGGTGTGCCGACTGCAGAATTCACGTTGCACCAGTGGCATTGCTTTTTAATTAACGAGTCGAGGATATACAGCAAAATCTGATTTCTACAAGGCATGAAGACAGCTGGCCACCATCAAGCAATTGCGAGTAAGATAATAGAATACCCGCACTAGAATATCGCTTAACGTAACGGACGTAGCATTTCGCCTGAAGTAACGCGAACCCTCCCGAACGAAAAGTGGACACAACCTAACCACGTGATGCACGGTGATGGACGCGGGGCAGCGTGGACATCAAGGTCTGTCACCGCCACTCAGCAAGGCGAGTCTCGTCCGTGTCGTCAATACGCGGCCTGCAGAGTACAACCTGTTCGCGCCTCGCCTCGTGGAAGCTGGAAAACCATTAGGAATAATTCAGCTTTTGTAGACTCAACGTCTTATTTGTTTAATTATCCCAACAGAGCTGCCGCTTGCGTTGTAAGAATGGGAAGATGACAGGATAACCACTTCGAGCTGGAGGAAGCAATACGAGTGCACGTGGTGCACGTGATGCGGGTTTACGCCTGAGTCAGCCAGCCCGTTTCCAAGGATACCGACATGACAGGGAATCAAACAAAGCGTCACCTCCTGTCCAACTCGGTCCAATGCAATGAGAAGCTTTGAAACGTCTGCATCGGTGCTCGTACCGAGCTGGCGGATGTCTGTTCGGTTATGATGCGTCTCTTCGATCGCGAGTGAGACTGGTGGGCTCAGCCTTTGTTGAGAGGGTGCTGCTAATCTAAGACATCTGGACACGACGTGGGTGACTTGAAGACACCACATTAACGCTGGCCAGCTCGCGTGCTTATCTTGCCGAAGTTTGGGCTAATCTGGCAATATTCCTAAAATGCTATGTAAATGCACCTATGGAGCAGTTCCTATTGCGCCTGTATACAGTGCTCGGCGACATTGTGATAACTCTGGCAAAATTTGGAAAGGTATTTGGACCAAAGAAACTAATGCTAAAGGTCCCCACCTAAGAGTTCTTCACATTTCGCATCAAAGCCGTAGGCAAACAAAAGGGCCGATACAAAAAGGATGCATAGTTATTTGAACGTAATCTTCTATCTAGATTCGGATTGGCTAGTTGGCGTCATTCCGTTCCACTTTTTTCTCATTAACTGATTTTCACATGCCTGAAATATATCTTGGCAGGCAAAGGACTTCCCTGAAAACGGCAGGAAACCAGCATCGTGAGCATATTGAAAATCCATGTATACATATATATATATATATATATATATATATATATATATATATCCATATAGCCCGATATAGGCAAGCTCAATGCTTCGTAGCATGCCTGTGTTTTCTAGCTTTACTCCCTTAAAGACGAACCTACGCTTAAACCGCAAGCTTTATGAACCACGCAACTGTCTTCATTTAGCTTAAATGTACAAAGATCCACTACGAAAACCTAGACACTTGCCTCTTTCGATTTTTGCTTGCGAACATTATTGGGAAAGTCAGCACAGACATTTCAGGCATTTATACCGAATTGTGAAAGCTAAGCATTCCCGAGGAAGGACAAGAAAATGGCAGTACGCGGTCTGGCTGCGAGGGCTATGGGCACCATCTACAGACAGAAGAGATAGCAAACTGCCCTGCTGGCTGACACCTGCCTGCCCCCACCCCCCGAAATGTTGGGGACAATCACTCTCTGCTCTCCTCTCCGCTGTTCTCCGCTGAATAGAGATAAGCCCTCACCAAAATTCGCACTCACGTAACGCATTTCTCAACTTGACACTCCTGTAAAACTGTGCTTCGTGTTTGGGGCAAGGGAAAAATTGAGATTTGGCGAAGCAAGAATCCAAAAGTACTCCGTGGCTTGTGCTAGAACAAACGGGTAGACAGGCGTAGACGTTTTGTTTCCCACCTCTACTAGGGCTTACGCCTGAGGACATCGTAGTATATATGCACGGAAACATAGATTTAGTCAAATTTTTGACGTGAATGGATTTACGATCAGAGTTTTTAATAGCCCAGCTTGCTGCGCCAACTTCCGCCAGGGGCCCACACAAGGCGGAGCTACGCACGCTCGCCCTTTCAAGAGCAAAGTTGGACCCACAGTTACCAAGGGTCTGAAGGAGCACAGAATGGTGTCATGAAAAATAACGCGGTGAAATCTTGTGAGAGGAAAACCATTGCAGTGTGAACCACTGACTTATCATTTGCTCCAAGGAACAATAAATAATTGGATAATCGTTTTTTCATACATGCCGTCTGAATCGATCTCGAATGCCATTAAGATTGTAAATGTGCTGTGGGTGGAGAGTCCCTTGCTGAACATATTCTTGATGCTGCGGTCTTTTCTGTCCGCTGGAACTAAAACGGAGTTATGTTTCCTTGCTTCACCTATTCCTGAAAAGCGGATACGGTTTTCTCGAGCATTTTATGATACCCAAAATGGCATAAGTGGAATGCGTGCAGCACCAGGCGGGGTTAACAATAGACGATAGGAGTTAACAGCAGTCAAAAAAGAACTGAAGCATCCTGGTCGGTAAAACGTTAAATATCAAAGCAATTAAAGTGAGAACTTTTGGAATAGTTCAGCATTCATGTTCACCTTGAAACTGGGCACAAGGCTATTCACATTTGCGTAGATAAGACCGTAAAAATAGTCTTATTCCTCGGAGAAAAAACCGGAGAGTGGAGAGTTGGGCTGATATTTCGGCAGCATGCCTTTATCGCCACAATAGCAGAAGTGAATTTAAAACTGCCCATTTTGAATTTACTTCTGCTATTGTTCTGATAAAGGCATGTTGCCGAAATATCAACCAAACTACATCTCCATTCTCCTAGTTTTTCTCCGAGGAATAAGGCTAGTACCACTGTCTTATATATGTGAATAACGTTTCTCGCTAATGCGCTGAACAATTGTTCAAATTTAATTTGACATCACTTTCTTGACAGCTTAAACAACGTCCAACCAAGGAATGCGGGCCACGCAGCGGGTACCGTAGCCGTATCATTACAGCTATCGTCAGCACCATACACTGGTGCTGTAGATGCCCCCCCCCCCCCCTCCACACTGCCCGCCCCGCCGCCCCATGCCCCCCTCCCCCCCCCCCCACCCAACTGTTGCGTTTCGGACGAGTCGGGATGATTCCGGACCGGGTTCAAAATATCCGGAGCGCTGGGCGGGACGCCGGTGGAGACCGGGTATAAAATAGCGCCTCCACTGCCGCCTGACAGTGCAGCGCGCGGCTGGGACCCTGCGACAGAAGCTGCAGAGGGCTTCCGACGGACGGCAGAGGGCCAACGAGACGAGCGCAAGCCAGAGCTGACCGAAGCGCTTCTTATAACCGGTGAAGGTGAGTCTGCGTTGGCGATGGGGGTGCGCCCCGCGGGGTAGTTGGTAATGGATGTTTTAGTGTTAGACTCGGACTCATCCGTATTGGATGCCAGGGCCTTTGGTATAAGGAATATGGTAGAGTCACGTCAAACGCTGGTAGATTATGTATCTATTTTGACCCTTGTATCGTCGGCCTGACTGTACATTTGAGATAGCGACGTTCTTGAAAATTGTTGGCCTTGTTGTTCTATTCGCTTAACTTTCTAACGATTGTGTTTTTCGACATTTACTTCCACCGCAAAGAGTTCCCACAATTTTTCGAGATGTATGAGGTAACTATGGTAACCAAATGCTGAGCGCTGTTTAAAGCGTTGCTTGGGAAGTTATGGGTAGTTCAGTTTCGTGAGTATAACGATAATCCGCGAAGTAGCGTTAACAGCTTTATCACATCAAATACTTGCTTTTCATCGAAGAAAGAGGGCGCTGGCCAGTGCACCAAGCGGGCACGTTTTGGGCGTTTGACTCGGGCAACAACACAGCACCAAAAAGTCGCAACACAAGGCCGCGCGTGCTCAGCTGGTGGTGCAGTCCCCTCGGCAGCTGTTGTCTTTGGCAACGGCGTGCGTAGTAACTTGGCCGGCTGTCGTGGACAGGCCAGCAGAAGGTCAGCAGAGGCACACCAAGCAGCTGATTCACGAGCCTTCCGCCAGTAATTTGGGCTGGCCGCGCCGCTCGCGCTGCTCGCCGCCCAGGGCCGTCAACAACAACATGGCACAGGATAGCCACAACACATGCGCAGCATTCCCGGCAGGACAGTCACAGTGGGGCGGGGAGGTGCCGAGATTAAGCGCGTTCTCGCGAGTGAAGTGCACTTCTGATAAAATCTCGAGTAGACATGAACGTACATCTCATGGTGGTGAAATATCTCACATCGTACCATTCTTCTCTAGTAAGGTTATCTTTTTGAATCCCCATTTCTCCTCTTTTAGCACCATTTCCGCTTTCAGTGTCCGTGTGATTATGATGCGCCTTTTTAACTTCTCAATGATTTAGTCTACCCAGCCCATTTTTCGTTTAATTCCAACTACTCATTCACCATACCATCTCTGGCGCTCCGCCTTGTGCATACGCCTTGAGACAGACCCTTTTCTTTCAGTAAAGGGATGATCTGTGAATATCTGTAAACACGCTGGTCTGCTGTCTCCGCTGGATATCTTTGCGATGTTCCCTGATGTATCTGCGGGTGGCCTAGCGCCCCGTGACTCGTGCGACGCCTGCTGCAGATGTCTCTGGGACTGGTTCGCACAGTGCTGGAGGAGGACAAGCAGAGCGGCGATGTGGTCGTCATGGCCTTCCACAACGGCAAGCTCTTCACAGGCGCCGAGGGTGGTCGCCTGGTGGTAAGTGAACAACACGAGATCTTCCAACAGCTGTCGGGGCGTGCGTACCTTAGTTGCTCTGCCAAGCCCCAGAACGCTCACCTTAGTCTTCTGTTGCAGTAAAAATTAGCACGCTAAGGCCCTTAGAATACTGCCGTTCGTGCCTTCCAAATGATGTAAAAACAGTGCTGTGTGACGAGCTCCTTTGAACATGACACCTAGGCCAGTGTCTTTACTTCGCACACCATTGCTTTGTCATTGTACTCGGCCTGGACGCATTTGGCTTCGCGCAGGCTGTTGAGTTTCTGTAAACGGTTCAAAATAAACAAATGATGTTACCTGCCAATGCTTTCCGTACTAAACGAATTGGCTATTAGCAAGGCTGTGTAGGCAAATTAGTGGTAAAAGTGTGCTCTTGCATTACAATATTGAAATCTGCAACGTTTTCATCAACAAAAGGTAAATGGGAAAGGTCACCGAACTTTATAACACAGACCGCAACGTTTCAGAAATAAGAATCTCGTCATGCACGCCGATTTTCAAACAATTTCAGTCCGTTTTTTCAGTGGAGCGATTTTCGATTGAGCGGTCCAATAAAAAAGGTTCAAATGTCATGATCTAAGCAGCTATTTGTGCTGCCTGGCCACAGTTGGCAGGGTCCCGGTCCGCCGGTCCGTTATGGTGCCAGCTTATGCCACCGGCAGCCGGCAGCTGGCGGGGTCCCGGTCCGTCGGTCCGCTATGGGGCCGGCTTACACCACCGGCAGCCGGCAGCTGGCGGGGTCCCGGTCCGCCGGTCCGCTATGGGGCCGGCTTACACCACCGGTAGCCGGCAGCTGGCGGGGTCCCGGTCCGCCGGTCCGTTATGGTGCCAGCTTATGCCACCGGCAGCCGGCAGCTGGCGGGGTCCCGGTCCGTCGGTCCGCTATGGGGCCGGCTTACACCACCGGCAGCCGGCAGCTGGCGGGGTCCCGGTCCGTCGGTCCGCTATGGTGCCGGTTTACACCACCAGCACCCGACAGCTACCCCGCTCCGCTCTCTCTCTCCAAACAGAGGGCTATAAATGTAGCAGTGTTACCGTCTGCCGCGGGGAGAGGGGTTACCACCACCTAGCGTCTGTGGGCGGCGTACCTGCCGGTGCGGAAGCCCTCCGAGTGACAGCCGGTGGCCGGCCCGCCGCGGCCGCGCCGGCCACCAGGCCGCTACAGGGGTGGACGATTGCCAGTGTCGGCTCAGGGCTAGCGCCAACTTGTGAAATAGCCACGGGTTCAGACACTCATAGACCTATGATAAATATTCATGCTATTGGGTCCACCAATGAGATTGCAGGCTGGATCTTGCGGCCGCTAGTCAGAAACGCATCCGTGGCAGCGCGTTAAGCGCCCCTGAGGTGGTCTACTGTGCCGGCGTACACGGCCGTTCGACGATCCGATCGGTGGCACCGCGGCTGCGCTGAAACCAGCCACGCTGCACTGGAGGTCGTGGCTATTTTGACATCCCGTTGATAAGTCACACACGGACTCACGCTGTTGCGAAGCTGCGCGGTGTGTCCAGGGGGTGTGACCCACAAGACCAGCTGATATATCAGTGTGCTTTTGCAGGTCTACAATCCGGACCTGACAGTGCACAAGGTTCTGCAGGCTCAATTCAACACCATCAATGACCTGTGCATCTTCAACAATGACCTGGTCACAACAGGTTAGTAGAGCCCGAGTAAATAAATAATGAACTCATCAATGGCATGAAGCTCAACAGCGGTTTTCTGGAGTTGTTTCGCCTCCTCAGTCGTTCAACGTAATCACATCGTAAATTGTACAGCGGCACCTGTTCTACAATTTACCGAACTCCAGTCATAGGTGGACAACGCCAAATTAAATATTGCTGAACAAGAAGTTTGGATGGTAGACAACAAGACGTCCGACGGAAGAACTTCACGAGGGCGGCTTTTTTCGAATGGAAAGTCTAAGCTATTTTTTAATTGGCGTTGCAGTCGGGCTTGAAAACAGCTAATTAGCCTACGGATATTGATAATTATACTTCGACCTTAAAGTGATGTTCTCTGCTTAACGAGCACTCACATGACGTCACAAAACCCGCAGCCATATGCTCTCGACTTTAGGCGGTAACAAAACCACAAAGCAAAGTTTCGACAGACGCACTTCCACCCTCCAACAGCAAGCCAACGTTGTTCAAACAGGTCACATTGTCTGTCTTGGCTCGGCGGTCACGGCTCCGTCACCGCCCGCAGGCAACGACGGCTTGATCAAGGTATGGGACGCCACCACCCTGGAGGCCAAGAAGACGCTGGAGGGACACGAAAATGAAGTGCGCGTGCTGCAGGCCCGAGACGGAAAGCTGTTCTCTGGAGATATGAACGGCAAGGTAAGCCTTGCCTTCAGCTTGGGCGTTTCAGAATGGCCCCAGTATGCGCGTCAGTATGTGAAGTTTGACTTCAGTTATAGCGTAAGGGCACTTGTGACTGGCAGATGCTGATGTTGGGTAGCACGTCTTCAGTCGTCCACTGTCAGGCGCAGGCGCTCATTGACGCAGCGTTCACCCGTGACGGGGCGATCACGCCCTAGCCGCTGCCATCTCCCGGGCAGGAGCCGGTCAGGGTGGAGTCTACCGAAGTCAGAATTGAACGCCGAGCACCCCACCTACGTTAACATGCGCATGAACTTGCCGCGCCATCTAGTCGGTGGTTAGGGTTTTTCAGTAAGCTGTTCATGGAGAAGCCTTTAATTTCAAAATCTTCACACAGTTAAGCGCTGAGTACGAATGTTTAGAATATACTAGCAATCACCCAAAACAGTTGATGAAGCGTGCTTAACGGTAGCGCTCTATGTTGTGTGTGTAGCAAGCTTTCAAAGTACATACTCATTACTTCATGGGCATGTCCCTTCATTCCCCTTTACTTAGATTGGAAACCCTACGTACAGATTAATAAGAAAAAAATACTTTTCGAACTGACATCATGCCATGCATGCATGCAGACGTTTGCCACGCTTAACAGGTACAGAGGTGGTCAGACCTGACCCTCTCAGCAGGCCTATACCGGCACATGGCAAGGTGTATCACAGATGACCCCGCTAACACTCCGCCTCTGTGGGCCGCTGCAGGTGAAGATCTGGTCAGCCGACTACAAGCTGCTCTTCACCCTGAGCTGCGTCGAGGAAGTGTGGTCCATGGCCTTTGCCAATAACATCATCTACACAGCGCGCAGCAACGACGTCACCTGCACAGAGATCGGCTTCAGTAAGTGCAGGGCTCTCTACCACAGAGATCGGCTTCAGTGAGTGCAGGGATTTCTACCACAGAGATCGGCTTCAGTAAGTGCAGAGCTTTCTACCACAGAGATCGGCTTCAGTAAGTGCAGAGCTTTCTACCACAGAGATCGGCTTCAGTGAGCGCTGCATCCCATACCCGTAATCAACGGCGAGGCAGTGTCCTGGACACAATGCTCCGCAGATGACAGTGACCTGCTCCTCAGGCCCCAGGAATGACCGGCTAACTTAAGAACAGGGCTCCGCCGACCCAGGGCTTTACCGACAACAGACCGGTTGTGTTTCAGTTTCTTTCCTACGATCGGTGCGAAACATTGCAATCAATGATAGCAGCAGCAAGGGGTGTGTTGTGATATTCACGAACTGGCGTTCCTGCTTGCAGAGGAGATGGATGTTGCGGGCGAGACCAAGTTCGTGATCCTGGACACGTTCGAGGGTCGTGGTCCCCTGTGCATCGCCAACGACAAGATATTGTACTGCAGCCGCGAGGGCACCAAAATCCTGGTGAAGGAGAACCGCAGCGGACACAAGGACGTGGCTCAGCTGGAGGTGAGCCGTCGGACAGCCCGCAGAGCTGCGCAACAGCGAGCTCATGTGGCCGCGGCCCGGTCCGCAGACGGGTCACGCACGGCCCCCACCGGGTCCACTGACGCAGACTGGTCATGCACGGCTCCCACCGGACTGGTCACGCACGGCTCCCACATGGTCTACTGACACAGCCTGGTCACGCACGGCTCCCACCTGGTCCGTTGACACAGTTTGGTCACGCACGGCTCCCACCTGATCTGCTGACACAGCCTGGTCATGCACGGCTCCCACCAGACTGGTCACGCACGGCTCCCACCTGGTCTGCTGACACAGTCTAGTCACGCACGGCTCCCACCTAGTCTACTGGAATAGCCTGGTCACTCACGGCTCCCACCGGGTCCGCTGACACAGCTTGGCCACGCACAGTTCCGCAGGTCGGCCACGGCCGCAGAGTCCTATTTGTCTTGTTGGAATCGGCTGCGAAATGACAGTTGTTGCTTGGCTAGGACAGCAAAAGGCATGGAGTGACGTTCAGACCTAGTTCGCACATAACACGCTGTCACTAAGTCCACTCTTATCAAAATCGCTAAAAAATTATGACAAGCCTGGACTTCACCGCAGCGTGCGTGCCGCGGGGGAGGCAAGAGGTCCCTGTGTTTCGGAGTTCAACATCACACCTAAAGTGTTGCACAGAACGAACCGCCTTGAAGATCTCAGCGTTCCTCCCCCCCCCCCCCCCTCTGGCTGCACATTCTGGCCCGTGCTGAAGTCGCCGCTGGTATACAACGGTGTGCGAAGATGATGCCACGGCTGAGGCTTGATGGCAATGGCGCACAACCGGGGTTGATGGTCTGGCCAGCCAACGCCCATAGTGCCAATGTTGAATTCTGAGACAGTTGGGCTGGGAGTTCGGCGTTCGGTACCCGCCGTGCCCCATAGTTGCCGCACCGACGCATCCCCCAACCCGAGTGAGCCCCTGCAGCCACGCTAAGACGGCGTGCTGTTCGCAGGGTCACAGCAAGATTATCAACGCCATGGTGGTTGTTGACAACATGATCTACAGCAGCGGGTACGATGGCCTGGTGAAGATGTGGGACGCTGGCTCGTTTAAGCAAACCGCCACGGGAACCACGGTAAGGTCCTGTTTCCGCCCCACGAGATGGAAAGTTTGCAGAAATCCAAAGTAGATGATATAGTTATGTATCACCGTTCCTCCGTTCCACCGACCGTTCCTCTGGGACCGACCTAAATCTTGAGCTCACTGTTTCTGTTTCCTTCATCTCTTCATGCGGTAGGGTATATGGTAAAGTGTGCGGATTTTCCTCAGAACGTCTTTGGCCTCGTTGCACACGACTCGTACGCATCAAAACATCAGACACGTGACTAGCCGTTTTGTGTTCTGCTCCTTGTTAGAGTGATAAATTGTGTTGGCATATGAAGCGTATCATTTTTTTTCGTCCACCTCGGCTTCCTTGTTTTCAGTTTCACCGATAAAAAATTGTGAATTTCAGAACGTCTCTGCTGGCCTTAAAAGGACTTTTGCCATCGACCTGTTACCTAGATTGGCGATTTATTTATATCTTTCTGTCACGCGCACCACGTGTTCAAATTTTCGTCCCACCCCCAGGTGAACAATCCCGTACACTCGCTGGCTGTGGGAGACGATGGCGCCATTTTCGCCGGCCTCGGCGGTGGCAACATCGTCCAGATGCGTCGCCAGTGAAGCGGCCTCGCCTCCCGAGCGCAGCTGACGCGCGTGGGAACGCTGGCGATCCTCCGACTGGCCGATTCGTGTCCGCCTCTGATCCGAACCAGTCAAAGCTGCTTTTTTTGCTGAGTCCGCGGCTCACTGTGTGACCGATAGATGGTGAAGCCACCGGTCGGATGTAAACGAAGGACACCGATGATATGCACCATGTAAACTGCTGCTCTGAATTGGACACGGAGCCTTGGACTCATTGTTTTGCATGACATCACTGCCAGTACGTGCCCGTAGTTTTTATTTCGCATATAACATTGGTAGCCCATCACACATGCAAGCAAAGAATCCGAGTGATGAAAATATATTGTTAAAATAAAAAAACTTCTGGAATATGGGTGCACTGTTGTGTCCAGTGCTCCTCTAGCAGCGAGTGGTACTGCGAAGACCGCCAAGCAGCGAAGCTTCTTTGTGTACCCTAATGTGTGGGTTTGTGGCTTTGCCAATGCGTGTCGATTTTGTAAACATTGCACTGCCAGGCCCAACTACTTGCCCGCTGGGTAGGGATGCTCGGTGCTGCCTTACTTGCACCGCTACCCAGCAGCCATCACTCCCACGACTGCGGTGGCTACGCCTAGAACGTGTCACAATGCTCGTAAGACTTAGGCAAGACATGAGGGCGTGAAGTGCGGCTGTGGCGATTCAAATACATAATTATACACTGTTATCGACTATTTGGATACGTTGTATTGACAACCTTTCACAGAAATTCCAGCGGAGTTTTAATTCACAGGCCCCTCGCAGGGGTCATCAAATTGCAAAAGTGGAACACGGAACACCGCAACGGAGAATCAACGGACTCCAGACTCTTTCCCAGGACGCTATCCACCAAAGAAGCATCAATCAGCTGACATTCTGTTGCTGTGGAACACAAGCTCCGGCCGGTCGGCCAGCGTGTCCCAAAAACACTTCTTCTTCTTCTTCTTCCCGAGGACAGTGACCGGAGCTATCACAAGTATGATTTTCCCCGAGGCAAAACTTATCGCACTGTCAGGCCTCTGCAGCCAACTGCGCTACAGTAAATGGACTCGATTGCAGGATACAGGATTTTTGTTAAAGATTTGGTCCAAACCCTTTGAATGGATGGATTTCTGGGATCAGAGCCCACATTAAGCGGTGCCTGTTGTGTGAGCCCTGACCCCTAATATCCGATCGCGCAATTCCCAGCAACGACAGAATTTTGTGGCGAAAGTTTAGCGTGTCGTTCGGCACGGTCCGTCCTGCCCTCTGACGTCAATTGACCTTTGGCGCGACCGCTGCCGCCTGCCGCAGGCCACACCCGTCAAGGGCAAATAGCGAGCGCCTAAAGCGACTCTAACCCACCCCGCCACGGGTGGGTGAATCGGAAGGCAAGCGCTCTGACCAACTGAGCCATCGGGACGGACAATCGTCACAGTCATGACGACTGATATAATGAAAAAGCTCAAAATGAAAAGTTTGAAAGGCACAATATCCTTTAATGAATTATCATGAGCAAAGAGCCCATGGAAGAGGTTGTAAGGAAAACATCATTAAGTGTAAGAATCGTCAGAACACAAATCGTAATGAATGTTGCCCGTGTTGCAAAAGATCAAAGAAATCAGCTGGTATGTAACGCATCGTTTACCATATATGATGCCTGACGAATGTTGTCAGAGGAAAAATTGGCATGGATTATGTTCAAATTCCAGATGATTGTAAGTCAAAATTAGTGCATGAAAGCTGTCAGCCGTGAAGTCCGATTTGTATATAATCTGAAATGAGTTCCGTAATTGTTTGGATGAACACGTGTTTGTTGTCTTTCGCCCAGCGCTGGCTACTGTGCCCTCCGACGGACTTTTACCTAGGAGACGAAGTCAGCCATACGCCACTTACGCCGCGCCTTCTTTTCCAGCGCGAGCTATTGCCGGTACCTTTACGCAGCATGATTCCTATCCTGTGTAATCGTTTTGGCATGTAGCCTTTCTCCCTCATGAGCTTTATGCCTTAGGATAATTTTCCATAGCCGCCTTCATCTTGGGCGATTTTTTCCCTTACGATTGATCTTTTGCCATGCCAGCTATATCCAGGCGCGCATGATCTCATGCGATTGGTTGTCTCTGCCCTTTGAATCCTCTGCAATACTCTGCTCACGATTTTTGTTAGCGACATTTTGCCATGTTTTTACTTTTCATGCGTTGCTATGGCACTCCGCAACTGGCCGGCGCTGCTCACGCGCCAAAAAGGTACGTTCAGGTTATCCTGATCCAGCCTGAGTCACTGCACGAAGGGACAGTAAATGAGATGGATCAGATTTGGACGATTCAGTCCATAAATTGATTCACTAGTGCACATAACTGCATCATATATTGAGACACCGCAGACCAGAAATAACTGTTCTGTCGGGTGTCAGCAGCCTCGCACGTTTCTCGTTGTTTCACAAATTTTTGGCCAAAATGCGGCCGGCTTGGGTCTAAGCGAGGCGGGTAGAACTGACCGGCCGCGCCACAGTACCCCGTCCTGACAGCACTAACTCCGCTGACGGGTAGAAGTGACCGGCCGCGCCACAGTGCCAGGTGCTGACAGCAAAAACTGCACAGACGGGCAGAACAGACCGGCCGCGCCACAGTGCCAGGTCCTGAGGGTACAAACTCCGCTGACGGGTATAACTGACCGGCCGCGCCACAGTGCCAGGTCCCGATGGCACCAACTCCACATATGGGCAGAACTGACCGGCCGCGCCACAGTGCCAGGTCCTGAGGGTACAAACTCCGCTGACGGGTATAACTGACCGGCCGCCCCACAGTGCCAGGTCCTGATGGCACCAACTCCACATATGGGCAGAACTGACCGGCCGCGCCACAGTGCCAGGTCCTGACGGCTCAAGCTCCGCTGCATAACACCAAGCCATTACGACCACGGCCGACTTCCAAGGCCATCCAAATGTGAGGCGTTCTACCCCGCCTCAGCACGGCTTTGTACGGTGCTGGCAGCCATATGTGACGGAAACATTTCTTCCCGCGCGATCTTGTGACATGACGACAGTAGTCCAACAGGCGTTTGCTTCCAAGTTCGCATTTGCGTTCCAAAGTGCTTGTTAGCCGGTGTGAGGAAACTAGTCAAAAGCAGATGCTGCCAGTTTTTAAGGTACGGGTGCCTACAATTTTCCATCAAGGCGCAGTATTCGGAGACCGGAGTGTGACGTAAGCTATGCTTATCACATTGACACACAATCTGTGCTTATCTGCTGCCCTCAGGGTCCCCGCAGACACGGCTGCCACTGGGCCTCAAGTTTCTCGGAGTTGAAATAACGGCCCCGTGGAGCCCGAACGCGCCAACGTTCGCATGTTCTGGACCAGTGTGCACCGCCAGCTGCAGCTGTTCGGGACCAGTGTGCACCGCCAGCTGCAGCTGTTCAGGACCAGTGTGCACCGCCAGCTGCAGCTATTCTGGACCAGTGTGCACCGCCAGCTGCAGCTGTTCTGGAGTACGTATGAGTGCGACTGGCCCTAGTCCTCTAATCCCATTGCAGAGTCTCTCGCTCAGTTGTTTTGCTCCACGGCAAATATGAGACAGTCAGTTTCACACAACACATATGTGAATGATGGCGTCGAGGGAGTGAGTACATTTGAGTGCGACTGGCCCTAGTCCTCTAATCCCGTTGCAGAATCTCTCGCTCAGTCCTTAAGGCAGCCCGTTCGGCGCCGCGTCCTGTTGACGCATTCAATCTCAGCCCGCTTTCGTCGCGACAGGCCCGGATTCACTCGACCTGGGCTCCTCGCTGCTCTGGCAGACGGCGGCGTCAAAAAAGAGCGCGGGCCTGCCTAAAATACGCTTCATCCTTCCCGAAATGATGCGTTCGGTACGTACCGACACGCGAGAGCTGACAGGCGCCGGCGCCGGCGACACTCACGCCCCGTCGCTAGCCAGAGACGGACGGACCAGCCCCGACAGCAGCTGCCACTGGTGACGAGAGAGGCGCCGTACAGCAGGTGAGCGGCGGCGGCTGCGGGCACGCGCGGCCCGGTCAGGACACAGAGCAGGCACACCGAGCTCAGGGTGGGAGATAGGACAGCGCGGGAGATGTCTGAACGCGAGAGAGAGAGAGGAAGAGACAGAGAGGGAGGGAGAGAGAGAGAGAAAGGGAGAGAGAGAGAGAAAGTGGAATGACCGTCGAAAAAAGAACGCAGTAGACAAAGCCCGCATTCTTTGATTGTGACATCTTACCTTGCACAACCTTGAACTAGAGCCAACTAACGGCCGTTGTATCTAAAAATTGCTCTCGCGAACGCCAAATATGACCGACTCGACAATTATTTTTTCTGGCCTTGATCGCCGCATTGCCAACGGAATGGCAGGACTTGCACGACATTATCATGACGTCATGGATGCCTAAGAAACGAAATAGTCTTCTCCAAATGGCGTGCACATCTACGCGTACGTGCAGCTCAGAAACTAGAATGGTTCAGATCTTAAGAATGGCGGGCTGTGAACTGCACCGAATGATCTTCAGTATAGCTTTTTCAGTTCAAAGCCCCATACAAATGTGGAACACTCCCTTTAATAAGCTGATGAAAGGGGACGGTAAATAACTGTATGAAATATACCGTAGCCACTATTTAAGTTGCATCAGTTCACTGGAAGCTTTCAAAGCCGCTAAAGCTCAGAGGCGCTATTATATTTTTATGGATTTTACAGAAATATCGAGGACTCCTTAAACGATTATTACATGACCAACAAACGCTCGTCATGGAATCCTCAACATTGAGTCATAATTGATAAGTGAGTGAAATCACGGGCATGCGCCCTCGCAAGCCCTAAAAAGCAACCTACCCCTGGTGTTGCAGCCTCCAGACCGCACACGTCGCCCCCGTGGTAACATGGCGCCAACGGGCGGATGAAAATGATGATACATCTGCATAAAGAGTATTTGAACGCTCTAGAGTATCAGTTCCTACGTTTAGACAGAATTCCAAACGTATGTTCTATCTGCGTGTTTGTATGTTCATAATAAGGGTGGCACCGCATTTTTGCATTTGTATTTTTACGCAACAACTAGTGCTTGCATCTGATGGTGGAACTGGCAGAATCGTTGTTTTTCTGGCTGCTCTAAACAATTTTTTTTATTTAAAAAGCTGCACCAAGATCACAAACGGTAAATATACGCTACAGTCCTCTCTTTGAACGGCGCGAATTAATTTTGACTGGTTTTCAAAATTGATTCCGAATTATTTCACAAAAGTATTTCACAATTTAGGAAGTATTTCACGCCGGTCGTGCTCGCGCGCCCGGCGCCCGACGTTCTGAGTTACCTGCAGTGGCCAGCACCGTTCAGTTTCGCTGCGACTGCAACCTCGGCTATTTCTATTCTTGCTCGTAAGATTGCGAGCAGGTGGGCTCAAATCTTGTTCAAGTAATTTGTCTCACGAGTCGATTCTGCTGGAGGATGGACGTTCTTAGGCAAACGTGGATTGGTCTTTTTCATGTCTGACCTAATTTCGATCCACTTCATTAAACATCAGTGAGACCTCTCACCTTTTTACGTGTAAGGGGCCTCGTGTGTAGAACACTAGGGAGTGAGCACATTAGCGGGCCTCTGCGGGCTAGATCCTTAGTTAGCCGGGGCGGGTCAGGTTGCAGCTGCAGCTGCTATTCTGGTGGCACGAGGGCGGGGTCCCATGGTCGATCCAGCGGGCCTTAGAGGAATGCATCATGAATCGGTCTCCTTCCTGACGCGGCAGACCTTCTGACCCGGGCAGTTGGCACCGGATCGATGCAGGAGCCCTCATTGACACAACACTATTCCTTATCGCCGCGGGTGGTCCAATAATTGGCAGACTTCACTTCGGCTTAAGGACACCTTGGCTGAAAGGGGATAGAGGGCTCCACGGTCGGCAGTGGGGACTCGAACAACGGGCCTTCGGGCCAACGGAACGGGCCTTCTAATATATGATTGTGGACTCTCATTGTACATTGAAAAACACGTTGGACATTTCACTTTCGATGTCGTGTTTTCATCGTTCTGGTGACTTCACGGTAATTTTAATATGTTCACACCATACACCACAATCTAGCAATACGCCACAATTTAATCATTTCACACCATACCTTTCACACAATATTCCATGGATAATAAATAGTGTCAGGGCAAAAAAAACTGTTCACATTTAAGCGGATTACTCACGTATATGTGATCTTGATATTGTGTGAATTGATATATATATATATATATATATATATATATATATATATATATATATATATATATATATATATTGGGTAGTGTGAGCGATACCAGCTGTTGTTATGCCAAATTCAAAATAACCTCTAGAGCAGAATTGAACACCGGCAACCAAATAAAGGGTTAGTTGCAACTTTAATTCGCTTTTGAATGGTTGCAAAGTATGACACCTTCGACTCCCTAGCTACAACTTTGACGCGGCTGTCGAGGCCTTTAGTTTTCCTAGAGTTTAGGCAAACCAAAAAGTATATATCGTGTGCAAAATTAGGAAACGCGTCCTGTCACCTAAATTTTGCGCATGAGTTTGGCAACAGTCATCTGCTACCTCTGACATGCGAGGGTGCCGGTGTTCCAGACATCATGAGCCTGAACATCGTCGCCTCAGTGACGGAGGAGACCAAGCAGAGTGGAGATGTGGTCGCCATGGTCTACCACAACGGCAAGCTCTTCACCGGCGCCGAGGGCGGCAAACTCATCGTAAGTGGCTCCGCCTGAGTAACGTACATCCCTGTGACAACCTCACCTTATCAAGAGTGTGATCAGCACTGGTCTTAGCTATCGGTGTAGTCATCAGCCTTGTCCCTTATCGCTACGAGACTCAGGTATGATTTGAAATCATGCCGCAAACAGCTGCATGCGGTCAACAACAAAGCAAATCTATTGCGGCTGTCATAGTCTTTTTAGTTTTTGTGAAAAAACAACAGCGTACTATACACACAAGCACACACACACACAGCAATCGATGATATTATTGTCTGACCTCCCACCGGAAGAATCTCTAAGGCTGAAGCAATTCCAACTACCGTCTGCCCTTGAAACTGCCCTCAAGTGAAACCGACTGAGAGTCGGTAAATATCATCACATGCAGCACTGGACTTTTCCGTGACCCTCCATCCGACACCGTTGGAGCGGCTGGGCACAAACATCCCAGCCACACCGATCTTTTGTTTCGCCTCGAGAGGGAGAGGGGAGGAGCGGGGCCGGCGCGAGGAGACCGCTCGCGGCAGGTCGGCATCGCCCGGGGCTATTTTTGGCCTGTCACTGACGGGACCCGCAGTCTCTCCCCATGTTGGTTTACCGGGTCAACGGCCGCACGGTTATGGGCGCTGCATGCCGTGAATAGTGCGCTGAACGATGGGCGGGGAGGGGGAGGGGGGCGAGGGGGGTGGGGGTGGTCGGCTGTAGCCCACTTACTCGTGGATGGCCAACTTTGACCACACGGCGCCATGTGAAAGGACTTCAACTTCTAGAGTGAGTCTGGTCCGCTCGCTCTGGGATGTGCACGCGCCCGCGTGTCTCGGTACGAGCTCGGACGTGCTCACCGTCTTGTTGAGACCACGCGCTTTCGCAAAGGGCCGTTACAGGACGTTCGTAAAACCGGCTACTGCACTGTTTATAAGCCGTTTTGAACACAGATATAAGCAAATATTTTGAACAGTGTCAAGAGGCGTGGTGCTAGACATGTCAAGAGCTGGCATTGGCATGTCAAGAGCTGGCTAGGGGTATGTCAAGAGCTGGCCAGAGGTGTGTCAAGAGCTGACCAGAGGTGTGTTAAGAACTAGCCAGAGTTGTGTCAGGAGCTGGCCAGATGTCAAGAGCTGGCTAGGGGTGTGTCAAGAGCTGGCCAGAGGTGTGTTAAAAGTTGGCCAGAGTTGTGTCAAGAACCGGCCAGACTTGTATCAAGAGCTGGCCAGAGATGTGTCGAGAGCTGGCCAGAGGTGTGTCAAGAGCTGGCCAGAGGTGTGTCAACAGCTGGCCAAAGGTGTGCCAAGAGCTGGTCGCTGACTGGCCGGTCAGGGACAACGCCGCTGCATGCTTTTGATCAGCTGTGATGCTGACGGTCAACAGCGGACGGCTACCATCGGACCTCATCGCCCCGGGCAGCTGGTGGTTAACACCGCACCTCGTCACACTGGGCTGCTGACGGTTACCACCGCACCTCGTCACACTGGGCTGCTGACGGTTACCATCGGACCTCGTCACACTGGGCTGCTGACGGTTACCACCGCACCTCATCACGCTGGGCAGCTGACGGTTACCATCGCACCTCATCGCACTGGGCAGCTGACGGTTACCACCGCACCTCATCACACTGGGCAGCTGACGGTTACCATCGCACCTCATCGCACTGGGCTGCTGACGGTTACCACCGCACCTCGTCACACTGGGCTGCTGACGGTTACCATCGGACCTCGTCACACTGGGCAGCTGACGGTTACCATCGCACCTCGTCACACTGGGCTGCTGACGGTTACCACCGCACCTCGTCACACTGGGCAGCTGACGGTTACCACCGCACCTCATCACACTGGGCAGCTGACGGTTACCATCGCACCTCATCGCACTGGGCTGCTGACGGTTACCACTGCACCTCGTCACACTGGGCTGCTGACGGTTACCATCGCACCTCGTCACACTGGGCAGCTGACGGTTACCATCGCACCTCATCGCACTGGGCTGCTGACGGTTACCACCGCACCTCGTCACACTGGGCAGCTGACGGTTACCACCGCACCTCGTCACACTGGGCACCTGACGGTTGCCATCGCACCTCGTCACACTGGGCAGCTGACGGTTACCACCGCACCTCATCACACTGGGCTGTTGACGGTTACCATCGCACCTCATCGCACTGGGCAGCTGACGGTTACCACCGCACCTCATCGCACTGGGCTGTTGACAGTTACCATCACACCTCATCACACTGGGCACCTGACGGTTGCCATCGCACCTCATCACACTGGGCACCTGACGGTTGCCATCGCACCTCGTCACACTGGGCAGCTGACGGTTGCCATCACACTGGGCAGTTTTGGAACAGAAACTTTCTCTTTCATTGTTGTGGTGTCGAGGGGAGAATGACGACATCTGTTCCCCCGTTTCCCTCCGTGCAACGCCTGGAGTTCCATGCCAACTTCTGGCATGACAGGAGACTGGACCTTTTGTGCCCCAACCCGACATGCGACCCATGCATCTCGCTTAAAATGTCTTTCCTTTCCAGATTTACAACGCCGACTTGACCATACATCAAGAAATACAGGCGCAATACAACACAGTGAACTCAATGTGCATCTTTAATGGAGATCTGGTCACCACTGGTTAGTCCAACAACAGTTTGATGAAGGTCCGCGCCAACACAAAGTATTCGCCAGATTTGGCCCGCTTTTTCGAGGGGCCTGTTTTTTTCGTTGCTTTATCCAGCGATACTGACAGATGCGTAGAAGGACAAGCAAAGGGGAGCAGACCCCAATTGACAGCGTATGTTTCCCCAACAGGGGCCCAACAGATAGAACGCTAGAGGACACAGCGCCTTCCACAGTCGGGAACTGAAGGTCTTTCCCGTCCCAGTCCCGGGTTATTGCAGTCCCGTGTGAAAAGTACAAAGTATAAAAAACATACAAGTACAAAACGTATGTTGAAGATACTCATTCACCGGCTATCAAAAGCATCAGTGCTCAACAAGCGCGCTCTCACCGCACGCACAAAACTCTGCTGTGTTAGCTGTGTGATGTCGGCCGACAGTGCGTTGTACAATGCTGGCACGTGGCACACGAAAGGTTCTCCTACCGCTCTCAGTTCTCAGCCTAGAGAGGCACCTAAGCATATCTGGCTTGTCGTGCAGCATCCCCTTTTCAGCCAAAGTGATTTGGAGCCCCGTCACATATCGAGGCGACATCCATCGAAGTATCTCACACATGTTAGGCACGTGGTCAAATTTACGTCGGCCAAAAACCTCTCTGGTATCGAAGTTTTCGAGAGCTTTTCGATGCTATCAAAGCGTTTCTGCGTGTCATTACCATAAACAATGCAACAGCATCTGACCTGCGTCAGCACCAACGCTGTTGCTAAAGTTTTGATGACGTCATCTGGGAGGCAGTGCCGCGCATGGGACGGGCCTGTCAGCACGTCCGTACACTGGCGGCTGAGCTCGGACACGTATGAATCCTCAGGGCCTGGTCATCAGAGCCTGACAGTGCACTGACGGGCAATAGTCGAGGAAGCCCCAGAGCCTGGTCATCAGAGCCTGATATTCTACTGAGCGTCGGTAGTCGGGGAAAACCCCGTAGCCAGGTCATTCGAGTCTGACAGCGTATTGAAGGGTGGTAGCTGTCATCATAACAACTCTGAACTGATCATGCCAAAAGAAAACTGAAGCTGAAGCCATGAGGGGAGGGGGGGGGACACCCAATGGGGGGGGGGGGGAGGTGAGGAGCGGCTCGCTCAGGCCTACCATAATTTCATCATAGATGGCTCCTAGCAGAAAACAAATAATCGGCGTGATGCACTCTAACCGTGTTCCAGCCTCCAATCTCACCATTAGACAATTTGAGCTGCGCTCCTGGCTCCAGGCCTTTAGTCATGCTCATGGAAGTGTTGATACCATGCATCGTCGCTGATGCGTCGTGTCTGTAATCAGGTAATGATGGTCTGGTGAAGATCTGGGACGTCAACACTCTGGAACTGAAGAAGACGCTGACCGGTCACGACAATGAGGTCAGGAAGCTGCTGCCCACGCCGGATCGGCTCTACTCGGGCGACATGAGTGGCAAGGTAAGGCGGGCGCGGCGGCAACTCAACCAGACCAACCGCGCTGCTGTCCAAAGGCAACAAAGGTCTCACCCCATATGTCAATTTTTGGCTATTTTACATTTTTATTTCACCTTATTCATCTACTCATGCTGATTTCGGTTATTTGAAGCAGTCAGTTGAAATTTTCACAAATTTTTAGCCCACTCTTTTATCTAAAAGTGTGTGAAGATTTCAATTATTGGTTTAGATCTCCGAATGCAGCATGAGAAGACAAATCAGATGTCATAAGAAAGCGCAAAATGGCTATAAATGAACATATGAACTTTTTGCCTTTGGACGGCAGCCTGTCAGCGACAAATGCGTCGAGTTCTGGTCTTGCCACGGCCACTATATATCAGTGGCTAACTTGAAAAAATCAACCCGGAACATTATTTTGGAGGGATTTGTATTGGTAATACACAAGGACATAAAACACCCAATCAGTGATGTATGTATGTATATAAGCATATGTGATGTTAATCTGGGCCATCCACATGGAGCATGGCTATTACAGCCCTGTGTCAAAAGTATAGGGGATAAGAACCTGCAGGTAAAAAAGCAAAACGTGTAACACGCCGACATTCTTTCACTGGCCACCAATAGCATTAGCGTTCAAACAGGTGCGCTCTCACTGCGCGTGCGAAACACTGCTGTGTTGCTTGTTTCATGTCGGCTGGCAGTGCATTATACAATACTGGCGCGTGGTACCCAAAACGCCTCCTGTCAGTTTCGGTTCTCGGCCTAAGGAGGCGCAAGAGTCTGTCCCGTCGAGTGGGTCGCGCACGCGTGTCGCGGTCTAACACAGGCATATATGCATATAACTATAACTATAACTATATATATATATATATGTATATATATATATATGCAATGCGTATGATATATGTATTACATGTATGTATTATGTTATATATATATATATATATATATATATATATATATATATATATGCATAGCCCTCAGTACATCAGGCTCGCCGTGCAGGATCACGTTATGAGCCAGGATGACTACGGGAAACTCAGCCACGTGTCGAGGTGACATCCAACGAAGTGCCTCACGCAGGTCAGACACATGGTCAAATCTACGTCGGCCAAAAATCCCTCTGGCAGCAAAGTTTAGGATCTTTTGGACTTTGTCAAAAATTTTCCGTGTGCCATTGTCGTAAATCGTGAGACGATATCTGGTCTACGTGAGCGCCAACGCCGTCGGCACAGTTTTAGTGATGTCATCTGGAAGACAGTGCCGCATGTGTAACAGGCTTGCCAGCACGTCCATACACCGGCGGCTGAGCTCGAACGCGTGTGAATGCCAGCACAGGTCGCTGTCGAAAACAACACCTAGGTTCCTCACCTCTGCATACGGTCGCAACGCAGCGTCACGAAAAGTTACGGTGAAGTCCGGAATAGCACGTATATTTTGACGACTGCCAAAAGTGATCAGTTGCATTTTGGTTGCGCCCACCTTAAGGACATGCGAACGGAAACAGCAGCTGGGTGATGCAAGCGATGCCTCCATGCGAGAGATAACTTCCCTTAGGTCATTCTTCGGACCGCTCACCAAAACCTGGTGCCATCTGCATATTGAAATACGTTTGCCTTTTTCTGCGCACAAAAACTGGTCATTCGAGAAAACTGTGAAAAGAAGTGAACCTAATGTCAAACCTTGGAAGACACTTATCTTTGTTGGCAAGTGTCCGTGACATCTGCGTCCCGACCCATCATTTAGGCGCACAATCTGGGTGTGCCCCTGAAGATAAGGGGCAAACCAGGAGGACTCAATACCGTGCATCTGCAGCTTCTGAATCCGAATTTGGTGATCAAGGATGTCAAAAATTTACTAGAGCCAATAAGGCACAGCAGTAAGACTTCCCCTAAAGGTGGCGCCAAGAATGTTGTCGGGGACACTGACTCGGTTTCCGTCGGTGACGCGGACGGAAACCGTGCTGGGAGAATGCAAGGAGATGGTTGTATGATAGGTACTGGTAAAGCTGCCGTTGTACGACCCGCTGTAATATTTCCAGCCTATCGCTATCTCTTTGGAAGCATGGGGACCAAGGCTGCACACAATACTCTAGGTGCAGCCTAACGTAAGCTAAGTGCAACTCTTCACAACATTCCCACTCTTGTAACGGGCATTCCCGTTAATAAGTCCCAGAATCCGGATTCAAGTACCTTAATTCCTATTGCTATCGCGGTATTATTCACACAAATCGCAAGGAGCAAAGGGCCAAACACCGACCACACAACGCCACCTCCATTCGTCATTCCACCGAGCGTGGCTGAGGTCCCTGCAACAACTGACGGCTAGTCGTATGCTCAAACGGGTGTAACCCAACCATCAGCTCCGAGTATGGAGCCGAATTTGAATAAGCGAACCACAAACGAGCAAGCCCCGACTCGGGGTGAGGCGCGTCGCTAAGTCAGGGACTGGTGCTTGGATCTCTTTCTGCGGTGACACGAGAGCCAACTGAGACCCAAAAAAAACTCGTTCAGCTGATCAGCTGTCGTGTCTGGTCCGATCGTTTGTCGGTCTCTCCTCCGAACTAACACCGTCCTTGTGCACCAGCCACCCTTAACCTTGACCCTGCTCGTTGATCTCCCTCTGGATCCTCACCATGCCGGCCGCTGCGGACGGCGATCGAACGGCACGGCTCGGCTCACTGTTTCACGGACCCGCACGACTCTCTCTCCCTGACCGTGCGAAGGCGGCCTGGCGGCGGGCCATAAGACCACGAATGGCGGCGGAGGTAGGAGAGCAGTGGAGTCTTACGAATGTGTCTTGAACGGGGGATGAGCGTCAACAATAGGTAAAAACCTGTCAAAATGCGATCAACTAATCACCGACCGTCGGGGTAGAAAGAACTTCCACAATCAGCTCGATGAAGATCGTGGTTAAAAGAAGCGATGCCGATGCGTTTCAGGCAGCGGAACAGAACAACAGGCTTAGCTGAAGGTTTCGGAATATTCACCAGCAGACTTAGGAATTTATGCGGGCTAAAATAACAGAAGTTACTTTGGCAGTAACAGAAGCTAGCACGGCATTCGCGCACGTTGTCACGGTGGCGGTTTTGGACGATGCGCAAATCTAAAAGAGAACCAGTGAAGAAAGTCGGGACGGTCATGATCTGGTCCAGAGAGAGAAAGTGGTGTGACGAAAAAAGAAAAAACCGCCCACACTCTGGACCAATGTGGTCCTTCCAAAAATCACAGTTCAGATCACTAAATGTGACGAACGGGACTTCCGGGTGGCCAATCAGCACGCGCCGCATCTGGGTCTCCAGGTCCGTGAAGTAGTCTTGCAAGGCAGCTACTGTGTGCTGGGGCGGGCGGTACAGCGGGCAGATGAGCTGACGTCCCCGCTCGAGCGTCAGCATCGCCCGCTGTGACACCAGCTTACTGCGCTGGGTCTGAGACGCAGACAGACGCAGTAAGGTCACCTTGATGCTGGCTTTTGTCATGGCAGCGACGCCGCCGTAGCCTCGCCCGTTGGGGCGGTCAATCCGGGTGATGGAGCACCCGGGGAGCACGACGAGCCGGCTGGGCATGGCGGGGCGCAGCCACGTCTCAGATAGGAGCATGACGTCGCATTCGTGACGTTTAAGTTCGCTGGTGACCTCTAGAAGCTTGGGCCTAAACCTTTGGCTGTTAAGAGTTCCGATACGTAGACCGACGTCGGTTGCCTTCCGTCCACCGCTGCGCCCCCTCCACCCGTGGCGCTGGGGTCGTCGGCCCCCGCCGCGCGGCCGCCGTGACCCGGCGCGTCCACTGGCCAGGAGCGGCTGTGCCGGCCGGCTCGCCGAACCGGCAGCCGCGCCACGCGGTGCCCGAGGCGCTGTGACGTCACAGGTCAAAGCCGGAGGAGCGCGGCCCGGCGGCACGGTCGAGCCGCGGGGACGGGCCGCGCGTCGGGTGGTGACGTCACGCGGCAGGCAATGATCAGGTTCTTGCAGGCCACGCATGTGGTTGAAGGTGAAGCTGACTGGGTGATGAGTGCACACAGGCACCAGTACACGGATGACAGCCAGCAGTCAGGAAACGGGCCAAGTCAAATTGCAAAAAAGGCTGTGCGTCTTATAGGAAATGTGTATCCTCCACAAAGCTCGGAGCCAATCTTTAAACGATACACAATTTTGAAACTATCGGATATTGCTAAATCCCAAATGTCAATTGTGATGCACAAATTTTTAACTCCACAGCTCCTTGCATCATTCGATTTAATTTACACTCTCTACGAATCCAATGACATGGATATGGGGCGAGCAAAACATTTAGACCAACCTTTCTCTAATCGTAATTATAGACTATTAACAGCATCTTGCCTTGGCCCTAAGCTGTGGAACGACATTATGGTTTCATATTTTCCAAGAATAGCTGATATCCCTGTATCAAAAACCATCGTTAGAACATCATCCGCAAACATTTCGTGAATACATATTAACGTAACCAACATATTTGAAGACATTGCCATCCTTTGTGCTGTACATATCCAACGCATTTCATATTTGACCTCCTTCATGTTTCATAGTCAATTTCTGATATAAAGTCATGCACATATACCCATATTCACGGCGCTGGCTCCGATAGTTCTCCCAGCTACAAGCTCTGCTTAGCTGGGTGGACTCCCTGGACATCCAGCTCAAAACACAGCACAAAAATGACCAGGTAATTGCCCCCTCCGACTTGTGTGACTGTACAGCCCTTACTAACACGGTGAATTGAGCGGTTGCAGATTATTGGGCGGTTATAGCGGGCTGTCATTAGCTGACTTTGGCTAATGGCTACTTAAGCCTTCTCTTCTATGGTTTTTCCCTACCTATCACATAACACAATTCCTTCGGGTCTGCTCCACCTCTTCGCCTGCTTTTTTACGTTTGTTCCATCTTCCTAGCTGGGAGTGCCGCGACTTGACTTTATGTTTTCTGGTGTTAACGTACGGTTTACTGCGTCGCTGAGATTGAGGGAGGGGCACTCCTGGTTACCTGTTCTTGGGTAACGGCGTAAAAAAGTATCGATGCATGCTGGGTGTGGGTGGGCACATCACACACTCACGTGGCGGTGAAAACCCAACTACGTAACGGGGGTCACGGCCTGGAGGTCGGAACCTTGCCGAGAAGTATGCTGGTAGGCGGAGACAAATCGGGCACTCAACCAAACACCCTTCTCGGTCTCGGTGTACAGTTGAGAATATGTTCGATCTAGTAAGTCCACGAGCAAATCGATAAGCCCACATATCGATGTAAGCCGCCTACGGCCTAATACTCGACTAGCAGCGCTGGTGTAACCTTCTATATGCATGTGATATGCATTGAAATCATCATGCAGTGCCCGCCCAATTGCCTCCTTGATGCGATGTCAGTAAAACGATGACGGTTATTACAAACGAGCTACGAGAAACATTAACGGGCTGTATGGATTTTTTGATCTCCATTGCACAGCGCATAAACAGCTTCAGAGATGAACACCGATTGTTGATCGCCAGTGAAGCCATTGGTCACAGGTCACAGCTCAAGAGGGCTTGGTCTTAGCGAATGGATATATATATATATATATATATATATATATATATATATATATATATGCGTTTGTACGCATTTGATGACTTATTATCGCATATCTATTGTAACAACAAGGATATAATAATATACATTATGTACTTAGATAATATGCATTTATATAATATAAACAGAATCATAATTCATCTCACGACATTCGAACTGGCGACAGACGCGCACAAAATGCGTACAAATAGCCGTTGCGACAACTGCACGCAGGCAACGTAACCTGCCGCACGTTCTCTGCAAGTGCGTTGTCTGGTGCTCCGCAGGTGAAGATCTGGGGCACCGACGGCGCCGGCCAGTTCACCCTCAACTGCGTGGAGGAGGTGTGGGACATTGCTGTGGCCGGCAGCATCTGCTTCACCGTCAGGGACAAGGACATCACCTGCTCCGAAGTCATGTTTAGTAAGTGGCGTAGAAGGAAGGTCGTCTGGACCATATTGCTAGTCATACAAGAATCGATATCTTGGGTGTTTAAGCGATTAGCCGTGTTTTGAAAGTAACTTGTGTATTACTGGTTCTATATGTGCAACAAATTGAGCGAATCTTACGCGTTCACTTTACATTTTTTCCCCGACGGGCCTCATTATTGTGACATCACTGGCCCAGGCATTAAATCTAAACAGGGACATTTCCGAAATTCTGTTTTGCTTTTTGTGCGCCAGCTTGGCTTTCGGACTAATCGTTATTTGTGGAGCAAGTCACTTGGAAAACATTGACGCACCCTGGCTTAGATAAAGAATTACACTTTATATAATATGCTATGTCGGCCAGTCCTTCATATGTTAAGCCAGTCTGCAAATGTTGGACAAATTTTTTAAACTGACGACGCCTGGATTAGGATAAAAACAATTGACTGCAACTATGCGGCAGCTTTAAAAGTGCAGGGAGACCAAGATAAAAATTAACGCTTGTTTTCCCAGCAGTGGCAAGTGCATCTGTCGCAAAATCGTGACTGTTATGGTTACGCAACGCGATCAGCTACATCGGTAGTCATCAGCAATCCTTTACAAAGATCTACTAAGATGCTTTCCTGTGAATTAGCCTCCCATCCTAAGTTTCCACAAAGAGGCACCTCACATGAATTTCAGACGGGAAGTCATTCCTCCGCAGGAAAACAATGTTGAGTCCACAGTAAAAAGGATAACATCGAGGACGCAACTCAAGCTGAGCAAAATCAGAAGAGAAATCAGTTTTTTGGGCAGGCTGGGTTAACCTTTTTGACGAAACCCCCATCCCTCCCGACCAACTTAAAAAGTACCACCTTTGTCAGTCGTTACAAATGAGGTTTTCCCCTTGCAACTGATGATTGCCTCAATATCTTCAAATGTGGGACATTACCTTCACCGAAGCTTTTTTACACAGCTCGCTTTTACCCGTTCCCTTGTCCCGTTCGCAATGTAAGTTAGTATGCTGTATATCTGTCATTTCTATTGGTTTCGCGTGGCATTCTACTCCTTCTCAGTACGGACAATATTAAACACTTTGATGTTTCGGAAAAGACTTGCCGCGCCCCATAAGACGATAATGACTGAAACAAGTCTTTTGCAGGCATGCTCTTAGTTGCCTTGCAAGAATCAACCGCTCATTGATCGTTGTAAAAAGCTAACCATACATGTAACAATAGCGTGCCATGTTTTGCGATATTTTTGTTCAGTTCCAAAAAGAAACAAAAAACAGTTCTTAAGAATATAAATCTTGTATTTTTCAGCCGGTGTAGTGCTTGGTATCCTCGCCATTACAATCAACGTCTTCAAATGTGTAACATTCCCTTTCCTTTTTTCCTGTAGTTACTTGTAATGCCTATGGCAGCAGTCTCCAGCGCCCCAAATGGTTCCAGTTTCCCTTGGCTCGGCCGCAGAGTCTCGGGCAGCCGGACTCTGACACGGCCACCAGCCGCCGTCCACCCTCTGGCGTCGAGAACTACCGCATGCTACCGGGCAGCCAGGACTCTTACCCCTGCCCTCTGACACGGCCACCAGCCGCCGCTTCACCCTCTGGCGTCGAGAACTACCGCAGGCCACCAGACAGCTGGACTCTTACCCCTGCCCTCTGGCACGGCCACCAGTCACCGCTTCACCCTCTGGCGTCGATAACTGCCGCTGGGTACCGGGCAGCCGGACTCTTACCCCTGCCCTCTGACACGGCCACTAGCCGCCGTCCACCCTCTGGCGTCAAGAACTGCCGCTGGGTACCGGGCAGCTGGACTCTTACCCCTGCCCTCTGACACGGCCACCACCCGCCGTCCACCCTCTGGCGTCGAGCACAGCCGCGGGTACCGGACAGCCGTATTCTGAGCCCCTGCCCTCTGACACGAGCACCGGTCGCCGCGCAATCCTCTGGCGCCGGGCGGCTGCCGCGATGTGTGCCGACAACCGCATTGTTGTGCCGCCGCCAACGTCCGGCCGGGCCCGGGATCGGCCGGCCGGACGGACGCAAGGCGAGCCGTCGGTGGCGCCGATCGCCATCCCCTTTCGCTGTACCGCCGGCCACGCCAGCCGCTTCGCAGGCCGAGGCTAAAAATACCGCCGCCCCGGACTGCGACAGTTTGCCCGCGGGTTAACCCCCCCCCCCCCCTCTCCCCCCCGGACCGCAACGCGGAATCAGCGAGCACAAAAATCGCACGGGGAATCAGCGAGCAGCGCTCCCCAACGGACCTCGCCCCTGGCGTGGCGTCTCCTATCCTTCTCTCGTTCTCCTCTCTCTCTCTCTCCTCTCTCTCTTCTCTCTCCTCTCTCTCTCTCTCTCTCTCCTCTCTCTCTCTCTCTCTCTTCTCTCTCTTCCTCTCTCTCTATCTCTCTCTCTCTCTCTCTCTCTCTCTCTCTCTCTCTCTCTCGCTCATCTTCTCTCTCTCTCTCTCTCTCTCTCTCTCTCTCTCTCTCTCTCTCTCTCTCTCTCTCTCTCTCTCTCTCTCTCTCTCTTCTCTCTCTCTCTCTCTCTCTCTCTCTCTCTCTCTCTCTTCTCTCTCTCTCTCTCTCTCTCTCTCTCTCTCTCTCTCTCTCTCTCTCTCTTCTCTCTCTCTCTCTCTCTCTCTCTCTCTCTTCTCTCTCTCTCTCTCTCTCTCTCTCTCTCTCTCTCTCTCTCTCTCTCTCTCTCTCTCTCTCTCTCTCTCTCTCTCTCTCTCTCTCTCTCTCTCTTCTCTCTCTCTCTCTTGAATATGCACAACGCACACACACACACACACACACATGCATGCACACACGCACACACATACATACATACACATGCACACAATACTGTTTTCATGCATACATGGTAAACAAAAGCAAGGGCAGAGAAGACCAAATGAAGCATGATGACCGCTATCGTTTGAGGCTGTGTCAGTCCACAAATAAATCAGTCCAATGGTGAGTGTAGCCACCACAGTTGCCTTGTCTTTCGCAAGTTGGGACTGTGGGGACATTTCTAAGTATTTTACCTCTCTATTTATCAATTGGCTCTAAAAAAACTCCACTGGCCTAATTTCGAAATGCATGCAAAGAGCAGGTTGGCTCGCACCTTCAATGAATGGATACGATGGGACATCGAAATAATAATACGCACGCATGTCCTGAGGAAAGCTTCCAGAAGTTTTCTTATTTGAGTAATCTGAAATTGTTGAAATCCGTCACATGGTGTCGCTCGTTTTGGTAGTAGTATCTCCAGGCAGGAAAGACGGCTATTTTTGAAAGTTGTCATCTTTCGTTTAAATTGACCAGAGGCGCCAAAATTTTAGAAATACTCGTTTTCCGGTTTAAAATGACTGGAGGCACTGAAGTTTTAGAAATACCCTCGTTGAAAACCCTTTTTGACATTTTGTTTGTTGTTTGACATGTTTTTGATAACAAAATTTTGAAGCCATTTTTTTAGAGTATAAAAATATGACTTAGGCCAAATTGCGATCGGTAATCGTGCCTTCGTTAGGCATGGATACGGTGTCAGCGCCAGCGTATACCGTCGCCTTTCACTTTTAGCCCGCTGCATGCATTCGCGAATCAAAACATTCCTGGTACTTCTTGCTTGACAGTGATGAGCATGCTGCGCTCGTTCTGGCAGGAGAAACATCGGCCGGCGACACGAAGTTCGTGATCCTGACGTCGTTCGAGGGCCGTCCGCCGCTGATGCTGGTTGGCAACACGCTCTGCTTCTGCGACCGGCCCGGCATGGTGATCAAGCTCAAGGCCAACGAGAAGGGACAACCGGACCTTGGCCAGCTTGAGGTCAGTCTGAAGTTAATCTGGGATGGCTCAAGGCCACCATACCGCCAAGGCCACATAAGGCCGCCGCCATATGGGTGGTCAGTCGGTCTGAGGTTAACTGGCTGCGGCATAGTGACGGTCTAGGTGCAATCAGGATGCAATCAGGTGCAATCAGGTCTAGGTGCAATCAGGGCCAGGAAGAGGCGCTGTTCGATTCACTTCGAGGCCTGATCCAATCTTTTAGTCAAATTGGTCAAAATCTGTCTCTTTATGCTTGATTAGTCTTGTCAGTCTTCGTTTGCTACTTGTTAAGTCAATGATTAATAAGCGTTATGGCCAATTAATGGTCAAGCAGTGTTATGGTCAATCAATGGTCAATCAGTGTTAGGGTCAGAGAGGTCGGTATCAGGTCAGTTTATGTGGTTTGAGATCAATATGAGGCTGTCTGAGTCAACTCCTTGTCCGTTTGGAGTCAGTCCGAGTGGTCTGGGATTGGTCCTCGGTCAAAATTGGTTAGCTCTGCGAGCTTGAGGCAAATTTGTTTAACTGTACTCAAGGTCAATCTAAGGTGAGTACGTGCTCAGTAAGACTCGATCTGGAGATAACCTGCGTTCGGTCAAGGGCAGTCTGAGGTAAGCATGGCCGGATCTGAGATCGGTCCGAGCTAGATGGGGTTGTGGATAACGAGTCCGTGGGGCGCGAACACTGTCGTGATTCATTCCGAGGTCATCCCGCGCGAGTCCTGAGTCAGGCCGGACTCAAGTGTCTACAGGCCTGCGCTCCGTCGAGGCCCAGTTTACACGGCATCTGGAACTCGCACAATACAACTGTGGAAGGTCACTGTTGCTGTGATGTCGTTTGTCGAAGACATTTCAATAGAACGTGCAGTTGGGAATAATGACTGCAAAACACCGCTGAGCACAGCCCGCCCGTGAGCATCAGTCGACCGTCAGCCCATTTTTTCTGTCAGCCGTCAGCCCATGTTCTCTGTCAGCCGTCAGCCCATGGTTTCTGCCAGCCGTCAGCCCATGTTTTCTGTCAGCCGTCAGCCCATGGTTTCTGCCAGCCGTCAGCCCATGGTTTGTGTCAGCCGTCAGCCCATGTTTTCTGTCAGCCTTCAGCCCAATGTTTCTGTCAGCCGTCAGCCCATGGTTTGTGTCAGCCGTCAGCCCATGGTTTCTGTCGGTCGTCAGTCCATGGTTTCTGTCATTCGTCGGCCCAAGGTTTCTGTCAGCGGTCAGCCCATGTTTTGTGTCAGCCGTCAGCCCAATGTTTCTGTCGGTTGCCAGTCCATGGTTTCTGTCAGTCGTCAGTCCATGGTTTCTGTCAGCCGTCGGCGCAATGTATCTGTCAGCCGTCAGTCCATGGTTTCTGTCAGCCGCTGCTGTTCTGGCTGTCAACAGGGGCACACCAAGATCATCACGGCAATGGCGTCACGTGGTAACTACCTCTACAGCGGCGGCTACGACAACAGCGTCAGGATCTGGGATGTCCCCGCTAAGAAGCTGGTGGCCACTGGAACCACCGTACGTTGGAGCGGGCTCTTGTGCGGATAGGCGAAGCATGCATGGCACGATACTTTGGAGTCATGCTTGTATGTACGTACAGCATGCATGTGAAGAGACGTTGGAGTCAGGTTCATGTGCACATAGAAAATGCAAGAAGAATGCGTGCATCATTTGTCTTCATAATCGGGAGCGTTTCATTCATTTGCTCACCCAGTCGTGCTCGTACCTTCATGAGGGGAGGGGGAGGGGGCGGTGGAATGGTGTTATGCCAAGACCCCCGTCTGACATGATTCGACAATGTCTATGGATTCAGGCGGTCTCGCACGCTGAACTTGGTAGGGCTTACTGAACCGCATTGAATATTCCAGCGTTCAGTTCTATAAATCTTCATTATAGCATCTATGAAATAATGCCTGCCGTTCTGGCAGGAGACTGCCGTTTGAACACGTGAGTAGTTTTTTCATGTCAGGTGGTTCTCGGCGTTGCCAACAGTTTGATAAAGTAAGATACGACTCTAAACATGTCAGTTACTTATTTTTCACACAAAAGTGAAATAAGCCAAGCGACAAAGTGGGCTTCATAACGTCGTTGGCATATTAAGGAGCGTACTTTACTTCGCATTAAAGTGAGTAGTCTGGTTTTGTAAGGTACAAGCTATAGCAGTTCGTTTTTTAATATCCTAAAAGCAGCGATCTTGTATTTGCTGAGCGATTTCAACTGCAGCGAAATGGTGCAGTCAGTCGTTTGGTGTCATCATAATATCTTATAATATGCATATCTTATGTGGTGCATAAAATAATGCATATATATATATATATATATATATATATATGTATTAAAGGATGATACGTCCGATGAATTGTACTGAAATGGCACCTATACTAATCTCACCGTCGCCGCATTGCTTGGAATCGAACTGACCTTTCGTTCTGGATTCGTCGAAACAGCTCAGCTCAGATTTGGGAGCGTATTTGCTGGCGCGTGGCACGAGGATCATACCAGCGATCAGAAGTTACGGCATCAGCCAGGAACCGAACTCGGCCCGGCCTCCATTCCCGGCTGACGCTCCGATATCTGGGCGCTGATTGGCCAGCGCGGCTGCCTTAAGGGGCTGCAATGACTGATGAATGACTGCAAGGCGGCGTTTTGACAAAATATGACTGAAAATGTTTTGCATTTGAGGATATTAAGGCAAGCATCAGACATAACGGGAAAAGCTCTCTTGTAACTATTGATATATTTTTTAGTGTAAACGACCGCTCTAGGATACAACTATTTCACCATCGAGTAAATATGGTTCTGAACACACGTGGTTTAATTACGCCATGGGACGCTTGTATGACATCAGAATCGCTGCCAGACTCGTTTTGTCAGCATTGATACTGAAGCGTACTTCCTGATTTACTTGCAGTACTTCAACTCGCCATAAGGCGGCTTGTAAGTTAATGTGTGTGATTAACTGACCATCCGTATGTGCGCGTGTTCTTAGCCCTTTCTCGTGGTGGTCCTGTATATTTTTCGTGATAGCGTGATTTTTTTTAACTTGCATTCACATTCCTGGTTACGGCACTCTTCATGAGTTGTTGGATTCCCAGCCTCATTTACGACGTAACTAGTAGAACTGGCCAAATGCCTGGATTAGGTACCACAACAAGCTGTTCGTAATAGAAGCTTGCATGTAAAGCGTTAAGTTGGGTAAAAGTCACCTGGTGTCCGCTGACATGACAAGTCGTGCTGACGCACGTGAGATACGAAAAAGTCATTGGCGATACTTCCGTTGACCTTGTGCATAATACGGCCACTGAGGTGGCGCAATCCGTGTGACGTTTTTGTGACGTCATACATATCTGGGTGACTTAAGATTAGGTGGCGCGAAAAAGTCTACTCAAGTTTGTGTGCTTAGCTGAGAATAGAAAGGACTTAAAGCCTTAAAGGACGTACCCGTAAAATGCGATAAGTTATCTTTAAAATCGCTTTCCAGTCCAAAATCCCATGCGAACGTGGAACAGTCCCTTTAACGAACACACCTATTACACAAATGAAGACACCCTGTTCACCCCATTCTGCTGCCACCGTGATCTCGCCTACCCCCAGCTTAGACATGTCCGTTGCGGTACCTACCTCCAAGTGAAATGGTACCCGGTCCTGACAGATTCGTGATCGACCTTGTCCTCAAAGCGAGCTTTTCTAGATTAAGAGGTGCAAATGCATGACGAATAATTTGGTTCACCAGGTCGGTGACAGATTCTATCTTGATGTGGTGCCTTGGCTCAGCAGCGAACGGGGCCCTGAAGTGACCTTCCTTTCCCTGAGGTTGTTGTAGTAAAGTCAGCGGTTGTTGCTGAGGTTGGCGTAGTGGTTTTGGCGTTAGAGCATTGATGGGAAAGCCTCAAAGTCAACTCCCCAACGCTGGGTGTCGTACCAGTTCTCTCCGGCCACAGCCGGTTCGAGCCGGTTTGCGCCATCAACGGACCAATCACGCGGCGACCTGCCGACTATAACCTGCCGACCTTTCCCAGGTCAGCAACGCCGTGCAGTCGCTCGCCGTCGGCGACGACGGGTCTGTGTTCGCCGGCCTCGTTGGCGGCTACATCGTCAAAATGAAGCAGCAGTAGCTGCCCCTGCGCCGCCGAGCCCGTCCAGCTGCCCACCGGGTGGAGGAGCTGCCCAGCCGCTCCGGCGGCGACTGAGACCGACGGCGCGCCGGCGGGGGCGCGGCTGGCGGGCTGAAACTGGGCGATGACGGCTTCAGGCGCACTCTTCAAACATCGACGGATGGTCCACGCAGGGCGGACGCGGCGCCGCCAGCACGGGGGACGAGCGGGTCCGTCGCGGGGGCTCGTCTGTCACCATCACGCTGTTCTGATGAGGCTGGTCGGGGCAGGACCGAAGGCTGACTGTGACGTCTGCACCCTGGTCACACGAGGACAGAGGCTCACAGCTGGATAGAGCGTGACTGATAGCAGACCCGACTGATGCGTGAACCCGTTTCCGTTTCCGCCGCTGCGGAACCATGTGCCACGCAAATGTTTGGTAGTTTAATTGTCGTGCGCTGCTGGTCGCTGGCTGTCATGGACGTGACTGTGTGGGGTGTTCTCCTTCCTCGACTGTTCATCAATACTGATGCCGTGTCTCCGGTGTGATGAGCAGACTTTGGTGTATCCAACCACCATGCATCGGATTTGTAAATAAATAGCCCGCTGATAAAGATACTCCCGTGGCAGGCTCCTCAGTAAGGTTTTCGGGCAAGCAGCAGTCTCACCTTAGCTCCATCAAATAAATGCATTGCACAATTTTTCTGCCCCTTACGCCAAACGCTTCCACATACAGAGCAACGGTAAAATCCCCTCCCCCACCCCCACCCTCTAACTCCAAAGTGTTATGCTCTAAGATCTGGGCAGGAAAGGCTGTGTTTTAGCTGGCTGCGGGCATGTGCAAGAGCATCGGATCTCTCAACAAATTGTGTAGCGATAGGCCGATAAATGGCTGAACATTAGACGAACATTAGGTGCAGCGAACGATTGCGGGAACTGGAAGCTGGAATCGTAGCCAGCGCTGGGGCGCTATTAATGGCTGGCAGCATAAATGATAGGAGCGAATGTCATCGGTACGATCGCGGACTGCAACGCCAGGAACAGCGTTTTGTCTTCTTAGCGTAACAGCCCGATGTAGCAAAACTGCCGGAACGAGCTGAAAGTTGTGTAGGCTTACCTGGATGCACTCCGGATTTTTACAGACGTCGGCATTAACTTAAATTATGGGACAAAGCCCGTTTCAGAATTCACCGAGCCTTGATTGTCAGCCAACCTTTTCGAAACGGAACGCGTGCGGCAGAAACTGTCAACGTCTTTCTTCCGGGGGAGGTCATCTCTGGTGTTACCAATTGCTAACGGAAATATCCGACCGTGTTCATAAAAGTGCGGCTAACGCACGGATGATGTCCAGCCTGTGACGGGGTGTCGGTGTTACAGACGGTGTTAAACTCAGTCGTGATCCTGGGTAGATTTACAGAATGCAGCGTCTGGAACTGTGATCAGCGCTTCCTATAGCGTAAGGTGTAAAGCTACTGATGTTGCGGAGCGAGTTTATACTTTGCACGTCGGATGCTCTTGGTATTATCACCACGACGGGCAACTCAGTTTTAACAAAGCGCCAATCAAAACACGCCATGTTCAAGGACCATAACGTGTTAAATACACTAACGATATTCTCACTGGTATCAGAAGTTCATTAAAAACCCACTCGCCGACAAAAACTCGCGAACAAGGGGGTAAACACAGTGCTCTAAAATCCCTTGTTTCCGGATCCATGAGTCATCTGGATGTATGCATCTGCATTACGCATCCAAGTATGTGCACACAGATGCGCAGGTTCGATAGAAAACAAAATTGAAACCAAATCTGACGGGTGCGTTGCAATGACAGCTGACAGATGCCTGGACTGATGAACACACACAGTCGCGACCTTGGGGTTTCATTTTAAGTATTTCGTCCTGGTCACCGTACATACGAACATCACTTTAAGTAGTGACCGGTCGCCGTCAGCTCTACGCTGACAATAGGTGATTTGAGCACTGAAGGTCATGTCCGCGTATGCAATATTTACATTGTGAGGTGGTAGTGCTCCCACGATAACATCGTCATAGCAATGTTGCACCTTTCGCGCACAAGAAAAAATTATTTCAAATTGGACGCAGTATCTTTGCAAATACCCTCCCGTAGCCCCGCCAGCATTGAATGATATGCTGTCAGGGATCGACCGGGAAAAAATGGACACAAAAATCTGAGGAGTTTGTTGGTGACAACTGCTGATATGATGCCAGTCTTGACAAATGCACAGAGTCAAGCATGCAAGCAAAAGCTTCGATTAGAGGCACAAAAGCTTGGAACAGCGCCTTGGAAGTGCAGCGGGCCCCCAGGGCGTGTTCATTTGGGCGAGCGGCGAACAGCACCTTCCGAACATGCGAGCAGCTGATTAACCGTGGAGGAAGGCCAAGTGTGAGCGCATGTCTCCCCGTGGAGGAGGTCAAAGTGTGAGCGCAGGTCTCCCTGAGCTGGAGGACGACGTGTTAGCGCAAGTTTCCCCATGAAGGAGGACAAAGTGTGAGCACAGGTCTCCCCGTGGAGGAGGTCAAAGTGTAAGCGCAGGTCTCCCCGTGGAGGAGGTCGAGGTGTGAGTGCAGGCATCTCCGCGGAGGAGGTCGAGGTGTGAGTGCAGGTCTCCCCGTGGAGGAGGTCGAGGTGTTAGCGCAGGTCTCCCCGTGGAGGAGGTCGAGGTGTGAGTGCATGTCTCCCCGTGGAGGAGGTCGAGGTGTGAGTGCAGGTCTCCCCGTGGAGGAGGTCGAGGTGTTAGCGCAGGTCTCCCCGTGGAGGAGGTCGAGGTGTGAGTGCATGTCTCCCGTGGAGGAGGTCGAGGTGTGTGTGAGTGCATGTCTCCGTGGAGGAGGTCGAGGTGTGTTAGCGCAGGTCCCCGTGGAGGAGGTGAGGTGAGAGTCAGGTCTCCCGTGGAGGAGGTCGAGGTGTGAGTGCAGGCAGGTCTCCCGTGGAGGAGGTCGAGGTGTGAGTGCAGGTCTCCCCGTGGAGGAGGTCGAGGTGTGAGTGCAGGTCTCCCGTGGAGGAGGTCGAGGTGTTAGCGCAGGTCTCCCCGTGGAGGAGGTTGAGGTGAGAGTTCAGGTCTCCCCGTGGAGGAGGTCGCGGTGTGAGTGCAGGTCTCCGCCCTTTAGGAGTATGGGTGGAGCACCATATTCTTGGATGGTGCATTTTATTTTACTATACTTAAACTTAACATTTTTTGCTGATACAAGATGTTGGCATGTTATGAGCCTGTGTGTCTACAGCTTGCAATGTATTTTGCCTATCGCTGCTTGATAATGAAATGACAAGTATTGTACGTGTCCCTAATCAAGTACATGTCATATCCTGGGATACATATCTTCGCCGAAATTGTAATAAGTGTAAAATAACTTTTGGTGCAGTACTAACTTGTTGGACCTAACGCACACTTTATTCGGTAACAAAATACATCATGCGTTACGGCTAGTGACGTCCGACCCTGGCATTCTCCAGAGGGCCGGACGTCGCGAGGATTCAGGAGGAAGAGGGAGGTAAGGAAACAAAGATGGGTGATGCGCGCCTCCGAAATGGTCGCAGCTGGAGCAACGCTGTGCTGCGCGGCGTCAGGTGGCCCCGAACGGCACCTCTCCTGCAAGCCCGCGACATGAACTTGGCCATCAGTGTCATCCCGCATGCAAAAACGTGTGCATAGAGAAGACTCTTTCCACAGACTGTTTGCCAGCGTTCGACAATACTTCACGATGGCCGCTTCGCCTGATCGACGACAGGCGAAAGTGGCGCCATCGACGTCGCCGACAGACACTACTCACACTGGTATCGCCCACCAGGTGCTCCATCACTTACCCGCGGGAGCGGCACGAGCTGAGCCGACAGATTGGTGCTGGCGTGACGCGATGGCACGATATTGACATTCCGCCCATTTTTTTGTGTATAAACACAACACACAGACCATATCGCATACTGCGTCCGTTAAGGTGCGGAATGGAACGCACTCGCCCGCCGCCGGTCAAGCCACCGGCGCTGCGACCATCCTGCACGAGGCGCGCGCTCCTGATGGCAGGCGCGAGGCGGGGGCGAAACGCACTGCCGCTCGTGCGGGAAACTGAATGACATTCCGCCACCGCGCGGCGGAAGATTGGAGGCAGTCGAGCATGAAAAAGCGCAGTTACCCTAGGAGCACTTACATGTTTCCGTTGGGATATCGGATCATCAGTTCAAGATCACGGTATCGAAATTAGCTATGCGATCATTTTATCAATTACATTTAAAACATAAGTTCATGAATTTCATTTATAACATAATCTCATCGATTTTAGGATGAACTGCTTTTAACAGAGTAGAATACCTGCCATTTACAACAATTTACACTATATTCATGTTCTTGTGTATTTCAAACACGCGAATCGTTTTTCACGCGTCAAAATCTCACTTTTTCAAACTATGGGGACAAACTCGCCAATTGTACAAATTGGATTGGATGTGTCGTCACCCCGTGGTTACACCTACATCGCTAAGTAAGACTCGTTACTTGTCCACGGGGCTTAGAGCAGAGGAGGGAGAAGAGCTATCTTCACTGCTCCTCTGCCTGTACAAAACGGGATCAAAGCTGGAAATTTCCAGCAAACTGCTCGGAACACCCCCCCCCCCTCCCCCCCAACTCGCACGTTCATATACCCAGAATCCAGACAGCCTAAACGCAGTCGCCCCACTGAAAGATCATTTTTTCAAGCTTTGTTACAGGCCTTCGCTACCTTGCTATGCATGTCGCCCTAATGCCATCACTGTCACCTACTTGGTGCATAAGCGAGATTGCCTCCAATTGTTAAACGTGCTGGATGAGTGCAAGTGCCCACCAGCCCTCAGAGCTCTCTACGTTAGACGCTCCCAGGTGCCCCAGAGGGAAACGAGAGCGGTCTCTACGGGATAGCTTAAGATAAAGGGATGTCGCCTGCCGGTCACGTAAAGACCATTCTCCTATCGCGCGGCGCGTGCGTGAATCTTTCCCCCCCCCCCATCCGACTGCTGTTACCGGTGTCGAATCCTTGGTTAGTTGGCACATACGATTAAACCAATCAAACGATGCATTCTTCTCTGGACAGGTGCACACCGCACCGACTTGTCGCATCCACTACTCACAGACAAGGTTGCCGGAATCGGCATATCGAACGGCAGGATGGGCTGCCCACGCGTGACGTCACTAAACCCGAGCACGAACGCCACAACCGGGTTGGCAAGTCGGCGGCGCACCGGGCCATGGGTCAGCCAACATAAATGGCACGTGGATGGTCGTGTTGTTTTGTGCTTGTACCGTCACCGTGACTATTTGTATGGTGTGCATGTAAACACCTTTCACTCTAACCAACCACGCGCACCCAAATGCATCCATGGCACCCACTATGTGAATGAATCCGAAATAAACGAGCTCAGACGTGAACATGAAGATGAGCATGTACTATCTCTGCACTGCGATCCGTGTAAGCGGCTGGTCCTCAGAACCCAGGTGGTCGTGACAGCGTATGAGGAGATTAAAACATACTAAAACGCGCGGCCATTATATGTCTGCAGTGCGCACTGTGAAAAGTACGCCAATCGCCAGGGCCATCGCGATCTACCCCTCCCCCCCCCCCCCCATTGT